TAATTTATAAATTTATCAAAGGTTCACGAGGGAGGGAAAGTGAGGGAGGGAGGGGAAAAATAAGCTGATATGAAAGGCTCAAGTAGAAAGAAAATGTTTTGAGAATGACAGTGGCAACAAATGTACAAACCTGTTTGACACAATGGATGGATGGATTGTGATAAGAGGTGTAAGAGCCCCCAATAAAATTATTACAGTAAAACAAAACCAAAAAACCTACTAATTGTATTAAAAATGACATAATTAAATACTATTAACTTATAAATGAAATTATGTGATACAATTTACTAGGATCAATACTCAATTCATGTTCACATCAAACTGACATCCGTAGAGATAGCTGTAAAAGATAATTCTGAGAGTAGAGTAACATGAATTTGGATATACATTGTCTCGTTAAAATGGTAGGTGGTAAATACAAAGTTTCTGTAGTTGTAGTGGAGGAAATTTAAAAGTGTCAACAAATGACACGTCCCTTAACTCTACTTACTAAATAAAAACAGGGCCTTCTACGAAGAACCTGCAGCCTGTGTACACTGCGTAACAATGGCCCTCACAGCCACCCACACAACACAGCCCACGCCATTTACAATGCTCTGGCCTCACATGACAGGCAGCATATCCTAGTGGTCTGGGCCTCTGTTCAATCCAGGCTCATCCGGTGACAAGGTTATGTGACACTAAGTTACAGAACACAGGATGCTATGATAACACCTTCTCAACAGCCACAGAGACTTGCAAGTAGTATGTATAACGCTTTGAACCCTTGGTGCAGAGTAAATGATGAGAACCAGTAAAGAATATTCGTTCAGTTATGCCTCATCACTTGTAAGCAGCATCTCCAGTGGTAATGACAAGTGGCCGGCTGGAACCACAGAGGAGCACAGCCAATCCCACATGGTACTCATGACTATTACTTAGAAGTAGTTTATTAGTCTCAATTTCAAAAATCAGTAAGCAGAACTAAAACAAATTAAGAACCATGCTAAAAAACAAACAAACACTGGATCTTAAAAAACACAACAAAATAAGAAAAGCCAATGCCATATTGTCTTCTCCCCTTTCAGAGAAGAAACTAGACATCAGGGGTTTATAGAGCGCCCACGAGGAGACTCCAGCATTCTCCTCTCACTTCCACCTTCACTCTCCCCGCTGCCCCCGCCCCCAGAGTTTTATTAGCACTTCACCTACATGTCATACAATGCAATAATTCAATGTCAAGAATAGTTGTACAATTAACACCAGTCAATTCTAGAACATTTTCTTCTTCCTTGTACTCAGTTATTCATGTGATTGTTTTCTAATTGTGGCAAAAATATTAGCAACAAAACATTCTCCAATTCCACAACTTCTACTTGTATAATTCAGTGACATTGATTATACTCTTCAAGTTGTACAACCCCTATTGTTATCCCTTTCCAATTAATTCCACCACCATCAACATAAACTCAGTAACCCCTGAACTACACCTCTGCCTTCATTCTGAAGCCCTTCAAACTTCCCTTTACTTTGGGTAGTTTACACTCAGTACCATGCGGTCTCTCTTCAAGGTGCTACAAGACGGGGCACATGGCCACACCTTTTTAAACACGCCAGAACCGTCAGCTACTGACATGTTCTCCTAACTTATTATCTGTCTGTCTCTGAAACAGTATGGGGAATCCTGGATTTGGGAAATGTACAGTAAGTTATTTCAGTCTTGTATCGAATTTGATTGCTACAAAACCCCTCATAATGTATAGTCCTAGAATATGAAGCTGGAATTCATGATGCTACTACAGAGGTCCTTCCTCAGATTACATTGAAATGTTACTGGTATTGGAGAAAGAATACATTCTGAGCATTGCTGCTGTTCAACTATAGTCAAATCAAAACGAATTTCTTTTTCCACAGTGTTTCCTACCACCCAAATCTGTGAACAGTGGCAGTTTTACTTCCTTTTCTCCCTCTGCAAGGTCATGTCAACATTCACTGGACTGGCTCAATATCACTAAGTTACTTACAAAGGACACTTCTATCTTGGTCCTGGTCCGGTTTGCAAAGGTGCAATACACACTAAGATAAAGTACCTCAGACCCTTGAGGACAAAGATGGCCACTTCAAGTCATTCTAAAAGTCTCCTACGGCTATCTATTACACTCCATCGCCCCCACACCCTAGTCTATATCCACCTCAAACTCAACAGCTAAACTGTTCTAAATGCTATTGTTCAAATACACTTGGAACCTTCCTACTAATGCCATTCCCTTTCTGGAAGATTCTTCCCAGTCTATTTCTCTCCAATCTCAACTGCTTACACCACATCCTCTAAGAAGCACTCCTTGACGACTCTGGCAAACCGTGATACTTGTTTCTCCGTCCATACCCACTAAGAATGGACAAGTGACTCAGTACAACTAGAATTCCCCTTCATTCCAGAAGGCAAAAAAACAGTATCGCTTGTCTTTACATACTTTACATACAATGGAAATAGGATTAAGACTGAAAGTGTTATTTAAAAGTAAAATAAAAATACAAATTCAAAAACCTTGTGAAAGTGTTTTAAGATTTACTTCTCTGGGAAGGAAGGGGGGGCGGGTAGAAAGGGGGAACCATCATAAGGATCCACATATAACCTCCTCCCTAGGGGATGAGCAACAGAAAAGTGGGTGAAGGGAGACGCCGGGCAGTGTAAGATAAGATAAAATAATAATTTATAAATTATTAAGGGTTCAGGAGGGAGGAGGGAGCAGGGAGGGAGGGGAGGAGAAAAAGGAAAATGAGGAGCTAATTCCAGGAACCCAAACGGAAAGCGAATTTTGAGAATGATGAGAGCAATGAATGTATAAGTGTATTTACAAAATTGATGTATGTATGGATTATGATGAGTTGTATGAGCCCCAGTAAAATGATTTAAAAAAAAAGATTTACTTCTAATTCAGAACACTCAGGGTCTGGATTCAAATCTCACATAGTCTATGAATGAACTACAGCCTTTGATAAGCTAGTCAACCAGCCTTGAACTTCACTGCGATGCCTGATCAAATATGGAATGTACATCAGGGACCTCAGGCAGTAAGTGACACCCATTACTATTTTAAAATCAAATTCTGTGCAATGGCGCTTCTTTTGCCCACATAGCTCCAAAGAGAACACTTGTACTAAAATTTAAACAAAGTTGTCTTTTTTGAGACAGAGAAAGGGCAATTAAGGTCTTCTGAATAGGCCACCTTTCCATATAAACCCCCATATACGCAGGTTTTTAATTTATTAAGATTAGAAATAGATAATTCTGACAGAATCAAATGTATTTCTACTGCGTCTGTAAGGCTGTACATATCAAAAATCAACAGTAATTAGAAGAATTAGTCTCAGTTAAAATCTATCAAAAATTAAAGCAGATCAAGAGCTGGAATGAGCTTAGAAGTCGGTAATAGGTCACAGCCGTACAACAGAGTCTGGTTCCCTACTGAGCAGCCTCATTCATACACCAGGAAAGGTGAACAGTGTTAACAGCAAACAGAAGTGTGCACACACATGCATGCACAAGGGAAAACAAACACGCAGACACTCCACAGCAGCATTTTTGCTCAACAAACCAGGAAAAACATACCAAAAAGATTAAGAGTTTAAAATGCTTAGATAAATTACTAAGATTAAGGCTTGCAGAATTTTTTGCTTACCTGCCACACTCCCACAATCGCATTGGCTACTAATATAAGTAAAATTACAAAGGGTTCTACAAAGGCTGTAATTGTTTCTTCGCCTTCTTCAAACCAAGCCAAAACCTGAAAGAGAAATGGCATGTGTTAAGATGGAAAGATAAAAACCACTAGCTAGGTCTTGATCCTAAGTCATGGGGACTACACAATGCAGCAGTGACCGAAGAGTTCACTGATCTTTTGACACGGTAAGCGAATCCCATTTTAGATCTCACATAAAATATTCTAGGTGACAATGAATCCCATTCATCCTACCCATACTCAGAAGACGATGTCACTCAATTCATTTAATTAAGAACCACTGTCAATAACTGCATTCATCTGGTCAATATAGTTCCATCAAGTAATATCCAAAGATGGCATAAAATCAGAGTGAAAGCAACTAGTTCAGAACTCCAGCTTCAGGGTGTGTATTTCAGCTGTTCATCTCCAGTCACTATGATTGCTCCTCCACATGCTATCCAGTACAGCAACGCAGCACCCCGAGAACTGGTAACTGGACATGCACCACTGTCCCAAGACTACTAAGCAGGAGTCAACTCTTGGGTAACACAAATGTGACCTTATTCTGATTTAAAAGATTTTTACCACTCACTGCCATTAAGTTGATATAGACACCTGGTGACCCTAAAGGAGTGATGGCTTCAAACCGCTGACCTCATGGTTGGCCAACTCAACATGCACCCCCACAAAGGTAGTAAAAACAAGTACCCCCATCCCGAAAATAAATAATTAAAAAACCCAATAGTGAATCTTGAAATAGTTTAACAGAAGCATAGTAAAAGTTATTTTGGTGGCTAAAAAATTCACACAACAGAAATGCTGTTCACTGGGTCTAATGACTCAATCTGGGAAGATTTGTGTTAAAAGGGTGCATTATGTCACAGCAAGGAGCTTCTTTAAAAGAAATTTGTGGACAAGGGATGCAATCTTTTCCCATCTCCTGAAGCCTATTCTCAGATAGGATTTATGGCAGCAATGTGAAGCCACATGACCACATGGGAATGTAGTAGAATCCCTTAAAAGCAAAGTCCAACATGTTAATAAGGCAAAAAACAAAACAAAACAAAAGCAGGAGCCCCAGGACCAGGAAGGGCACAAGCCTCCCGGCAGATGCCAGCTACCATTGCCAATGATGCAAGGGGGCAGGCTGGCCCCGCCTGGGCCCAGTGTGGGAGCGGCTGCCTGCTTCCACTAAGGCATTGCTGGGGTTAAAAGCCAGGCCTGCCGCCAGGGTGAAGGCCTCCCTAGGAAGTTATAAATTGTGATAGATGCAAGATCACAGCTGCTCTGGTACTAGCTTTCCAAGCTTTTGCCAGAGTCCATCAGAAATAAGAAACCTAATTAGTTCTTGGAGGAGAAAAACTGCAACTTGAAGAGCAACTGGGACCTTTGGGGAAGGTCAGGGAGGCATTAGCAACTCTGAGATATGCTTCACACCTTGTTAGGGCAGGGGTGAGCTTCCCTCTTGGCAGGGCCAGAGGAACAAACTCAGACACAGCCCGTAACAGGCTAAGACAGCAGGACAGGCCTTCAGGGCAAACCTCCGCTCTAAGAAGCACGTGAACTTGAAGCTGAAGAGAGGACTTCATTTGTCTGTGTGTGATAGACCACACTTTCAAGTAAGTATTTGAAGCCAGAGACACGGATTAGAATAAGATACAGATTGGACACAGCTAAGAAACCAGTAGGCAAATCTCTTCAGGATAAAAAAATGGGGCAAACCTATTTAAAATGGACTCATCATAACAACCTAAACATCCATAATAAACCTAATAATTAAAAGCTATATGTCCTATGAAAGGGAGCCAGGTTTAATGGACTAGCAAGAGCTGGTCACTTCAGTTCAGATGAGTTTGTCAGTTTTGTTCTACCAATAAGAATATCTCAATTTTAGGAGTCCCTAGGTAGCACACAGTTAAGAGCTTGTCTTCCAGCCACAAAGACTAGTGGTTCGAACCCAACCAAAGGTGTCCCTGAGGACAGGGGTGGCAGACTGCTTCAGAACCTGCTTGGGAAAAAGGTCAACTGAAAACACTAGGGAGTTCTCTGCACAACAGTTGGCATGGACTGGATGGCAACTAGCAACATAAATCAAACAAAAGGCAACCAGGAGGAAGAGGGTCTTTTATGAGGGGCTGTCAATTGATGGAAACATTCAATTTTGCAAAAGGTTTTGTACAACTAAGATACAAAACCCAAGTGATAGTAGACACATTTTAAACATTAAGAAACCCCCTAAACCAGGCATCCTCAAACTGCGACTCGCTGAGGACATTTATCTGGCCTGCCGGGTGTTTTTGTCCCATTTGTTTTTTTAACTTCAAAATAAGATATGTGCAGTGGGCATAGGAATTTGTTCATAGGTTTTTTTAAACTGTAGTCTGGCCCTCCAATGGGTCTGAGGGACAGTGAACTGGCCCCGTTTGAAAAGTCTGAGGTCCCCTGCCCTAAGCCATCTGGAAAGAAAGCAGGAGGCAAGGGCTGTATGATTTGAAGCCCACCAGAGATTCTGCTCCCATTCGCTTTATATGCAAACACAGCAGCAGTACTGGTATTCTGGGACTTACCAGCAAGTAGCTTCAAAGTTTCAATTTGCTCACTCTTCAATGTTTTCCAATATTGTAACCCAATACTAAGCCACACTTTAAACCGCATTTAATTAGAGTAGGATAGGGTAGCTTCCAGTTGTTACCAAAGTCTCTCACTGTGCAGACTCATGGTCCACAGCCGAGACGCTGAAGAGCAGAGGTGACTGAGGGAAGCAAACTATGACCCAAAGTTTTTAACGAAGTGTGTTCTGGTATAAACTGGGAAAAGTCACACGATATGGAGACTCAGTGTCCACATCAACATGTGGGAATAAATAGGTGGATTCTTAACAAGAGGTCTCCCCCCCACCCAAAGTCAGAATTTTTTTCCAGATTTTTAAAAACAAAAATAAAATCAACCCCCAAAAGGGATCACTGTGAACTATGATCTGTTATAACTATGGAGACATTCAGCCACTACAAAAGTCACTATTATTAGGCCTCCTCGTCTCTAATGCAGGGATACAGCAAATGTCAAAATCACTCTTCAGTATTTACGTCCTTTAGAAAACAAATCCAAACAAAAAAACACTCAACCTGCACACCTTGTGAGAAAATCTCTAAATTGGGAAAAGCCAATTGCCCATTCATTACATTTTCCTTTTTAACCCTGCGCCCCCCCACCCATCATACAATTTGTAAGTGTTACATAACGTAGTGTCAAATGCTTCCGGAATATATACGTGCTTTGGAGAAAACCAAAGCAGTTCTCATAAGTGTTAGTCTTGGAAATTCACTAGGTCACTAGGAGTCAGCATCGACTCAACAGCAGTAAGAAAGCTCCACAGGCTCGTTTCATTATACCATTTCTACCAAAATACTAACCTGGCTCTGTCAGGAACCCCTTTCAAGGAGTCTAATGGGAACTAGACAGAATACACATTCCTCAAATTTGGAAAGTCCAGTCTAAAGAGGTACAGTAGCATTTTAAAGTCCCTGGGTGGCTGAGGTAGAAGAATGAGGATGAAGGCAGCAGAAAGGTTACCAGAGAAAACCTTACAGCTGACTCAGACCTTGTGTCCTAAATGGACCTGAAAGTCACCTCAGAGACCTTTCCTGGACACGGCACAGCACCTCGCAACACCACCCCTGCCTTTCTCTCCACAGCACTACTTGTGTCTTCCGACTTCCTCCACAAAAACGCTCATCCCCACACTAGGGACTCTGTCCATTTTGTTCACCAAGACTTGGTAAAATAAAAAACGGAGGGCATTCCAGGTAAGCAGCGAAATGAGTTGTATAAGGGACTGAGATGTTACTGGAGGTGGATGAGGACAAAAGCAATGACAGGGACCTGAGTGCCAAATTCAGGAAGCTCTTTCTCCACGTGCATCTGGAGATATCAAGCTCACTTGTCAAAATTCAAACGCCCTCCAAAGACGTTGTCTTCTGATGAGCATAATAAATTAACAATATTACAAATTAACTAAACTTTATGCTTAACCAGTCACGAGTACAAATCTGTAATGTTATTTCTGACTTTCTGCTACAGCAAAATATTAACTATGTTAACAGTTCACTAGTTAGGTTGACATTTGAAATTAATTACTAAGGCCTAATAGTTATTTAAACTCCAGTGGGGCCCGGTGTTGTAGTGGGGTGTAGACATATATTCCAAGAATTGAATGTTCATGCTTCCAAGAGTTCGAATCTCAGTGTTGTTGCTGTTAGACTAAAAGGAAAAAAAACACACACACACACACACACAGCTCTTCTGTGACATAGAGAAATGAAGAATGGAAAGGTCAAGTGCAATGCCACAGTGTCAACCCTACAAGAAAATGCAACCAAAGAGATTTAACACCCACAATTTCTTGATCAAAGAAACTAAGGCAAATTTAAGCAAATGCTGCGTGAAACTACTTAAATCTGAAAGTATTGCCAGCTGGTAACGCACAAATAAAGGTCTACCACCGCTCGTTTCCTGAACATTGAACCCCCAAAGGCAACTCAAATCTCTCTTCCAAGATACAGTTCTATAAAGCTGCAACAAGCCACTGACCTACCCTACAGCAAACTCAAAACTCACTTGGAAATACCTATAGCTCCCGACTACTTCAAAGCAGAGAAAAAAACCCCAACACCCAGTAGCTTCTTTATTACAACATCAGCAGCATTAGTTCAAATCATGCTTTCAATTACGACAGAGAACCCGGGCAAGCCTTTGTTGAACCAGTTCTCGACCCACTGTTAATCTCAAGTGAACTGAGCCAAGTTCAAAACTACGGCTCAACATATTCTACGAGCCTCAATACATCACGTGCTCCATGACAAGGGAGTGCAACTTGTTAGTCAAACAGGTAAACTAGCTTCTCTTAACTGGTAAAGCAGCATTTCCTGCAGGGAGGAGGCTAGTTTACGAAAGATAAAGCAAAGACATAGAGACACGAGGTGTGTAGGAATACAGTATGCCAACTAATTTGCTACATGACATGCTCCATTTTGTTCAACAAATACAAAAAACTCTTATATTGGGGACTGAATCACTAGTGGCTAAACGCCACTTGGCTCCGTCTCACCGAATTTATGTACAAAGTGACACCGGATGCTCACTTCTTGCCACGTCTTTAAATGAGACAGATATGAAAAACAACCTGTTCCCTCCACGGCTTCATTTATTTAAGTCTCAAAATGTCATCCTATAGCATGGTTGTCATGAAGACTGAAGTAGACCCCTGGGGCCTGTACACATACAAACGAACAAAAACAAAACTCCAAAATCATTCAGGACATGACATATTGTAAATATCGTTTAAGCAAAATACTAGACCTTGAACTGAGTGACCAAAGATGACCTTATTTACCAAAAAAGATGCAAGAACTACTAACTCTTCAGCTTCTGACCGAGAAATACGACCTTCTTACCTTCAAAGAAGAGTAGCCATCTACTGGTCTTAGGAACCAAAAAACTGGTGCAATGCCAAATAAAAGTAATAAATAAATTCTGCCTTCACCTTTACTACCCTTCCAAGTTTACCTATTTTGCTATCAATTACATTCATAAATCTACTTTGCATCTTAACTTCATGTCAATTTTGCCAAGTCTGGAGAAAAGTATCGCCTGAATGAATTTCATTTCACTTCCTATCATGTTTTTGTAAGACTAAAATGCTGTAGCTAATTTAGGAACAAAAAGGCATCTCATGCTGTTAGGCTTAGGAACATCTGTGTCCTGTTCATAAACGTTTTTTTAGAAAAGAAATGTACCCCAAAGTGTCAAGCCCAAGAGAAGATGTAATAAATTAATCGAAAACAGGAAAAAAAACCCAGAAACCTAGAACTATTTCCCCAGCTACCATCCTCTTTCTACTGCAGTTCTCTACATTTCACCAGTTCCTTAGCAACCATACAGGACAGGAGCAGGCTCACAACACAGAACATGAAACAAGACTCAGCTGGGTTTTCTTGTTTGTTCTTTTTTTTTTAAAGCTCCAGAACCAACTTTCTGAACCCTGTTCGCTCAACCTAGGATGCACTCAAGAGAGGGGTCCAATTTCGATAAATATACCACCCTAAAGGTCAGTGACCAAATTTGGTCAACAGCAGTGCCATCACTGCCATCATCATTCTTGTCACTGTCAGAACAATTGTCACCTCCACCATTACCAGCAGGGAAAAGGCACCAGAATATTCCCTTTCAGTTCTACGTACAGACTACCAGGAGCCTGACCCTAATTGTATTTAATATGACATTGTTAGGACTTCAAATAGTACAGGGCTCCTGAGGTAGAACTTGGGGTATTAAAAAGCTGAGTAAAGTGTGAAGGCCCTGCTGCACCTAGAAAGAATTTCTACCTGTTCTATAAAAGCCAGGCACCGGTTCATCTTTTCTGAACATGAATAGCTTCCAGGGTTTTGTTTAGAATTTGGAAATGTCTGGTTTTGTTAGGTTTTTTTTAAACATAAAGCAAAGTGACCAGACATCCCGCTTTTGGCGGGACAGTCCTGATTTTTAACAATTTTCCCCCGCGTCCCTCGGTGTTTTAAAAAAGTCCCCATTTTTGGAAAGAATGCACGACAAGCTAGGGTATATGGTTTTCGGCTGCCGTGTGGCTATTTCGCCAGGATATGAGTTTTATCCATGGTGTCCCGCTTTTGTCTCACTTTACCAGTGTTAAAATCTGCTCACCTTAACATAAAGACATTACACACATCTCCTTCAACATGTTTTCACCCCATGAGCACCATTGTTTTCTGGGTTTTCAACTATGGAATATCCTCAAACTTTTAAATTTTCTTTAAAGCATAAAAATGAAAAACGTTTTAATACTTACAAAAGATATACATGCTGCCAGCAATAAAATTCTAACTAGTAAATCTTCAAACTGCTCAATCACAAGTTCCAGCAAGGTCTTTCCTGTTAGAAAACAAACATGTTTATTTGTTGTGACTTTCATCTTTAACACCATCAAATCAAAGGAGGGGAAGGAGGGTAATGAGCTATGTTAGGGGACTTACCTTCTTCAGCTGGTAACTCTGTAGAATGGAGAAATTCGCCAGGCATCGCCAGAGAGGTGGGAGAAAGAAAAAGAAATGGCATTTTAGCACTTTGCCTTCCTCGAGGATGAACAGCTAAAACCATAAAGCCCTTTCTTGGAAAGGCAGATCTGTGACAGATCTAGATTTGTGAACATTTGATTTTTTTTTTTTTAAATTGCAATACAGAAGGCCCTACTAAAATAAAACCTGCAATGCGATTTAATGCAAAGTGTGACTGCTTCGCCACCGAAACCAGCCTCCTGGACTAAGGAATCGGTTCAACCGTGTCATCACTTCTGCCAGATGTGCCACTTTGGGGAGAGCCCGAGAACGGACAGCGGCTTTCCCCAAAGTCAAGGCCACCTAGTAGAGCGACTGGGGACGGCAAAACGCCTCGCAGGGGCCGCCGCTCTCGCTCCAGCGGCGCGCCACGAAGGTCAAGGGCTCCGAGAGCCGAGAGTCCAGGCCCGAGGGGGCGCCGCCTGCAACCTCCCTCGCCGGGCTCGATCGCTGCAGCCCCCGCGGGCGCGGAGCCGAGCCGGGCCGGGGCCCACGCGGCCGGGCAGCCATCTTCCCTGGCGCTCGGTCGCGCGCGCGGCCCTGGCGCGGCACCTACCGTTGGAGCCCCATCTCTCCTTGAGCTTCTTGACCTGCTCCAGGCTCAGCCCCGTGCTCTCGTTGACGCCGAAGTTGCCCAGCACCTCCTCCACCGTCTTTGTGTGCGCGTTCTCCATGGCGGCGGGGGCCCGGCTGGCCTCTCCGCGCGTTCCGGCGGCCTCCTCGCCTCGGCCTCGCCCTCGGGCCGCCGCCGGCTCGTGTCACCCGGGCACCCCGGCGTGCCCTGGCCGCTCGCTGCCGCCGCCGCCTCCTCCGGCCACTTCCGCCTCCCCGGCGGGCGCTGAATCACCCCGCGCCCCTACCCGGCAACCACCCTGCTCGCGGCCGGCCGCGTCGGCACCCGCACGGGCAGACTGGGTGCCGGCCTTCCGAGTCTCGGCAGAAGGGAGGGCCTCGCCCGCCCTCAACCGCCGCCGGCTCGGCAGGCCGCGGCGCCGAGCTTCTCCGGAGGCAATCCGGGCGCACGAGGGGCCGCCGGTCGACCCCCGAGGGCCGAACGTGGGTGGCTACGGGGACGAGCCGGCGGGGTGGTGCGGCGGCGCGTTGGCTCGGCTTTCTCCACCCCTCACCCCCGACAGTGGCTGAGGGAACTGCGGCGGCGACGGCGAAGGAGGTGGCGTCGGGGACGGCTCCGCAGCGGCTGCTCTAATAGCATTTATCGGCCGCTGCCTCCCCTCTCGCCGCCGCCGCGGCATGTGGACGTCGCTCATTGGCCGAGAGGGCCCAGCGCGGCGCGGGCGGCGCGACCCCACCCCCTCCCCGCGGCTCCCTTCCTCCCTCCCGCCTCGCGCCCACGCCGCCGCACAAGCCACGCCCCCTCCGCGCTCCGCTCCAGGAACCCGGATCGAGGCCGGCGGCGCGCGCCGCCGCGCCCGCGCAGTGCGCGCTGCGGCCCGCCGAGGCACGCCCGGGCTCCTGTCCTCCGTCTTTCTGTTCACGGCTCCTTTTGCCGCCGCCGCTGCAGAACCGGGGTGGCAGAGCCTAAGCCTGATAGGAGCAGGGGTGGAAGGGGCCTTCGTTCGTAACCCTGAGGTTCGGTGGGTGATGGAGCCCAGGCTCTCGGTCCACGCTAAGGTGGCCACAGCAGTGCCCTCGCTCTCGTCTTCGCCCTCTTTCCAGGGCCGCGCTCTGCACGCTACTGTGACCCGCTCAAAGCCCTCTCGGGAGCGAGAGAGAAAACTCCCGCAGCTCCCTTCCCACCAGCCCCCCACCGCCCCGTCCCTCGTCTGTGGCGCCGCACCCTCCCAACCCCAAGCTGGGATCACCCCCTACTCCTGAGGCTTCTAGCCCGGGTCAAAGAGCCCTTCAGAGAGCCCCACACCGCCGCCGCTCCCCGCCTCCGGAGAGGTCGGGGTTTTTAATTTTAATAGCCCCCAGAAGCCAGTGATGCTCGCCTGTAGAGAAGTCACAGGCTAGGCTGCAAGGACTAAATGCAGCTAGGATTGCGTCAGGCGTTGGGTTCTGACGTGGCAAAGATCAAGGCGGTTTGTCTAGATTCCACTTAACCCAGTAGGACAAGAGACTTCATGCCTGCAACGTTTTTAAAGACATTTTATTGTGGTTTGGCTCAAAGCGTACGGCACAAATTAGCGTCCTATTCAGCAGTTCATGCACATTGGTTGCAAACCCTTCTGGATAACAGTACTCTTCCCACTTCCACCGTGGGTTCCCCTTTTCTCATTCACCCATTTCTGCTGTCCCTTCCTGTTTTCTGAGCATTTCAGCAAATGCTGCCCTTTTGTTCTATGAGGAGCAAGTCTTTCTTTCACAGGTGTTGTTTGTTCAGTTTACATGCCTGTCTATTGTTTGAATGAAAGGTGATTCCGGGAAGTAGGTTCAGATCCAGGTTTGCTGCGTGTCTGAGGGCCAAAAGCTATTATTAAGCCACGAATTTGCTTCTGGGAGGACTATACAAAATCCAAGTCACAGCAAGATAAAAGCATTGATAAAAAGCAATGATTCCTATTTCACACGGAGAAACAGAGTCCATGAACAAAACTGAGCATACATCACAAGTACGGTATGTTGTAGGAGGAAGCACAGATACACATCCCCATGAACAACTCCCTGCTGTGTAGTCAATTCTGACTTATTGTGACCCTATAAGACCGGACAACTGCCCCTGTGGGTTTCCAAGCTGTAACTCCTTATGGGAGTAGAAAGCCTTATCTTTCTCTGAGTGGTTGGCGATTTCAAACTGCTCACCTTGTGGTTGGCAGCCCAATGCATTCCCCACTACGCCAGCCACCAAATGTGGACCAATTCCTCCAGCAAATGCAAACCTCAGAACATTCCGCAGGTGGGGGTGGGGGTGGGAGATCAGGCATGTCATTTTACTATTTCCAAGAAGTAGAGGCTGGTGTGCAGGTTTGATTGATTCTTGGAAAGGAGCCAAGAAAACTAGACAGAACAAAACAAACCGAAATGTGCTTGTATATGGCGATGCACTAAGTAAGGTGGAAACTGCCTGGGCCACAGGATAGGAGCCTCTCCTGAAGGCTGATGGCAGTCCTGGGGAGTGGTGATGGAGGGCTGGTGGCTCTGTATTAGCACTCCAATGATTCCTCTGCCTCCTCGCTCAGCACAGAGAGGCCCCACAGGGCAGGAGAGTCAGGATCTCTTCTCAGCCTGGAAATCTTAGCTATTTGACTTTGGATCTCCATTCTGTGACCTGGCTTCTACTTGTCAAGCACTTATGACCTCTAGGGCCATTCTACGCTTCTTGAGGGCTTGAATGCCCATCCTCCTAAGGACAGGCCTTCTTCCATCTTGTCATCCAATTCTCCACTTCAAGGTCACCTCCCAAGATGTGTTTGTGGTCCACCCAGTCTCATAGGGCCATGCTCCTCGGGCAGCCTCTATCACATTATTCAGTTTTATCTTCTTCACAGCACTTACCTCTGATGTTGCATTTTTGTTGAGCTGTTTGCGGTCAGCCTCTGACTGGACCCCATGGCCATGGAACCCCAGTATAAATATAATCTTCATGACAAGAGGACTGGGATATCGCATCTAGGATCAGCACCCAGAGCGGTACTGCACACACTTAACAATGATTGAGCATCCATCTTTGGAATGAATGAGCCACCCCATTCCCAACTATCCCATGATTTGTAAAGGAAGATTATTGATTTCCAACTAGGGGTGGGGGAGAGCCCAGGTGGTATAGAGGGCTTCTAACTACAAGTTCAGCAGTTTGGAGACCCCCAGTTGCACCGTGGGAAAAAGTTGAGCCGTTCGACTCCCATAAAGAGTTACAATCTCTGACACCCACTATCTTGTAGGGTCCGTACGGGTTGGAATCAACTCCTTGGCAGTGGGAAGGAAAGGGATGGGGAGGAAATGTGAGCTACTTGCCTCAGGAAAATAGCTATGAAGGGCCATTAGGTTTTCAATTCTGAGTCAATTCTCAGTGTTCTCCGCCCCCCATCCCCTTGGCTGCTGAGATTTTAACTCTTTACAGTAGGTCAAAAAATCTTTCTCCTGCAGAGCAGCTGGTGGTTTCAACCTCTGATCTTGAGATTAGCAGCCCAACTTGCTTCCCACTCAACCACCAGGGCTCCTTAAAGCAAACACAAGCAGAGCTACATAGCATTCGGCTTTCTCAGAGAAGAGTCACGATTCCGATCACACTCACACTGCTGAGACATTGCCATCACCCCTTTGGCTGTTCTTGGCAAATTGTCTGTCTCCTGAGGCTGAAATCCTCTCTTATACAGACCCCGTAAGTTTTTGCTGGGATTTTTGTACCTTCTATATTTTCATACTGGTTGGGGAACATGTTTAAAAGCAAGGGTGCTAAACAAAAAGTTAGAGGTTCAAGCCCACCATAGTTGATTTGGAAGATAGGGTTGGCAAACTACTTCTGAAAGCCCAGGCATTGGAAATCCAATAGAACACAGTTCTACTGACAGAATATCTTCAGCGGCAACTAGTTTTGTTTTGTTTTTAATGCCCTTGGTTCTTCAATCTGTTGATATCTCTAAACTGGAATATTGTCTATTAGTGGCCAAACTTACTAGAAATCCAGCCCCCCAAATGCAAAAGGATCTAGTTTCTCTTATGTAGACACAAGCTTGTGCTTACTTTGTTTTATACATTGAATTTCAATGGCTTCTTGGTAAGCCATTGATTCAGAAAAGTTGAAAAGTAAGCTTGGGTTTTAGAACTATAGTCACCACCACCCAGGATTCTAGCTCCATTCAATAAATTGAGGACAGAGAGAGAAAAGGAAGAACAAACAGCAACTGTGATTCAGAAAGTCAGATGATTTAGTCGAAGGACTTCAAAGGCATCAGTGAGAGGTTGTGGAGGGAAAGGCTGGGAGCTGGTAAGTAGGCCTGGTTTTAAAAGCAAGGAAGACAGAAAAGAATGATTTGCAAAAGATGTTCCAGGCAACTCCCTAGCCTTCCACAGGCCTCCAAGAAAGAGATGGAGATTGCAGAAAGGCACCCTGTTCTGTATGTGGACTGCTGCGATCACAACAACAAGGAGTCTGGCGATGCTGTGGGTTCTAGGTTGGGCTGCAAACGGAGAGGCCAGCAGCCGGAACCCACCAGCTGTTCCGAGGGAGAATGGTGAGGCAGTCTGCTTCTGGAAAGATTTACAGCCTCAGCCGCGTGGTTGGGCAGCTCTACTCTGTCCTCGAGGGTCCCATGAGTTGGAATCAAACTGGTAGCTGTGAGCTCCATGTTCGAATGCTCCTTAGAAGCAAGGATGGCAAGACTTCATCTCACATACATTGGACATGTTGTCAAGAGAGACCAGACCCTGGAGAAGGACATAGGTCCAATTGACTAGAGAACAAATCCACTGAGAGTTTTATATATATCAAGAAGTAGCTATAGATCAGGAAAACATCCCAGTTCAGTCCAGATCGCTCATAAGTCCAATACTAGCCCATTAATCCCTCTTCAGACTCACGCAGCCATAAGCAATGATGCAAAATACAGGAAGATCACATTTGCTCTTGATTGGTCTTCTGCAATCACGCTGTATCAGTTGAATTCTTCTATGTGATAGCCTCATCTATAGGGTAGTGATGAGTGGGGCTGAAAAAGAGCAGCTCAGTTCCTTTTAATTCTCGGTTCCCACAAACTTTTTGAAGCCCTGCCATCCTCAGCATCCTTGTCATCAGTTCTGGGGAGCCCACTTCTAGACCCCAAA